ATTCCGCTCTTGACGCGTAGTTATCGAAAACGCTTTATCCCTCCGGTGCAAACAACTTCATAGAATTTGCACATTTTCTCCACTGAACGAAGGTTTTTTTTTTTTTCTTTTATTATGCTTTTGCAAAGTAGCGCGTAGTGTAGATTTACTAAAAAAATTTTACTTTTTTTTTGCAAAACTTCAAATTTCAATTTTTTTCTTCAAACTCTTCTAGCATTGCTACTCGAATTGCATTAAAAACTAATTTCAGTTTCGCTGATCACATGATATGCTGGGCGGGGTCTTTTGTGCAAAGTTTAACGAAAATAAAAATGGCTCTGCTGTTAAATGAAGAGAAGAAATGTTTCATAGTTTTCTGATGCAATGGTATGCTAAACTTGTGTGGAGGTCTGCAACAACCAGAAGGACTTGAAATATGCCCACCTTCCACCGTACTAATCCGAATCACTTTTGGAGTCGATCTAAGCTTGTCTGTCTGCCTGTCTGTTTTGTTTTCTTTTTGTGCTCAGTTTGCAAGCCCCAAATTTTTAAGGTATTTTCATGATATGGTGTAGGGTATGAAAATGTTGGCCGTGACCGACTACAATGTTTATACTTGTTTAAAATTATATTCAGTTATATGAATGAAAATATACAGCTCATGGCGCTTTTGTTCCTTTTTTCCATTCTCTGTTTCCTGTAAGTTTTTACTTCCTCCACATCCTCCACTTTCTCGTATGAAAGGGAATATGAAATGAAGAAACCCATAGATGAGTGCAAAACATTCCCTTTGATATGTGTAGATAGGTGATTAACAAAAAAAATGCGATATATTCAGCGCATAAAACTTTTTATTTTACTATTTATTTATTTCGTTCGTTCAACCAACGCCATCCTCCGTCTAACTGAAGCCATTCCGCCATTATTAAGCTCAATATTATTGATCATATACACTACAAGTGAAATAATAATAATAACTGTTTAGAGGATACACCTAATAATCTCGGTACACACACACACATATATTAAATTAATCCCTTTTTCAATAATCCTATTACGCAATTTGCTTTTATTACTCTAATGACTATCATACCTATTATTATATACCAGCACACACACACACAAGGGGGAAAAAACCAATCATTCAGGCAAAACATTTTTACAAGTTACTTACAAATTTAGCTACTGATAAACACTGAATGTACGAAATTGATCGGATATAAGGTTTATTTGCTTTTTATCAGGGCCTTGCTTGTCTACATTCACGCTTTCATGCTAAGAATACAAGACTCCTGTGCAATCATAAAGTACTCGGTCTAAGTCATTGTTTTTCTATACGCATGACTGATTGGAAAATCAAATGAAAACATATGTCCCGTAAAGAGAAAATTCAAAGTTCGGTTATACATGAAAACTCTTCCCATAAAAGTAAGCAATTGCTTGCTGTTGGCTTATTTCAATCGTGTACTCATCCAAAGATGAAGGTTTGGAAAGCATTCAATTCAAAGCAATTTTCTAATCAATATTCGTACTCGTTATACAAATATTACGAGAACTCGGTGTAACTTATGATTGTTGCAATTATTCTCTCAGGTCGACCATTGAATAAATACCTAGAACTTGCAATGCTTCGAGGCCCGTTAAAACATGAGCCAGCAGTAGTATGAAGAACATTTCTTCAACTGCACTTAAGTAAGTTTATCATGATCCAAACTTGTCAAATATCCACAGACAAATTGGAATGGATATGTATATATGTATATGGATATATCTTGCAGGCAGTTTTAGAAGAACTGAACGCTTAAAAGATTGAATTAATAAATTTCTTTTTCAAGGAATACAGTAAAGAGCCTCTGAAGCTAAAGCTCAACAATTCAAGAGATATTAAAACACTCACTAAGCATTATTATTAGCTGCTTATGCTCTTCTTTATTTTCATTCCGATTAAAATAACTTAAAGTACTTTGACGTAATGTAACATATTATGCGGCTATGAGGAAAGAAAAATCGACTTAGTCCACTTTCAAAATTATAGTCTTATACTCATGTATAGCGTATTTAAATGTATCTCTGTGTGTCGCGGCATTCTTCCATACAATATTATTATATTTGTTTTTTCTTCTTTTTTTTCATGTCTCAATCCCTCTTTCGTTACATTTCCTTCCGTCCGTAATGACTGTCTTGGCCAGATGCATACAAACAATTCGATTTCTCTCTCTCTCTCTCTCTCTTCGTTGCTCTTTGTTGTTCTCCGCATCCAACCAATGAATTATTAATAGTAAGCTATGTTTGTACGGTCTCCTATTCATTTAGACTTTGTCTTTGTTTTTTATCTTCTTTTCATTGGATTTGTTGCTTAATCCGATACGAGTACATACAAACCCATGCACGTTTACATAAGCAAATATATATCTAGAAATGGTGGCGGCGTTTTAGTTTCAGTATTTCATTTATTAAACTTATGTGAGAAATAGTACATTTACTGCAATTTTATTACATAACATGTTCTCAACTAATCTAATGATGTCAATAATTGATTATTTGCTTACTCATTAACTATATATAGATAGATATATAAACATATTTATATATATTTATATATGTGCATATATATTAATATAGATGAGATTAACTTTATAAAATTTAGCATTTTTTCGTCACGATAAGGAAGCAAAAAATATTATATTTGATCGCTTATTATTACTCATGATGCGCATAATTCTATAAAAGATAGATTAGATTGAATTTATACAAAGGAACTTTCCCATATAGCATTGCCCAGTTGTATCTGTATGGCTGGTCAAAAGACGATAACGGGCCAAGCTTGTTATTAAAAAGCTAACTCAAATGAGGATTAGATACGACTTTGATAAACTATACGATACCTTGACAATCTAGAAAGTGGTTAGTTAATCTGAAAGGAAAATACAAGTCACCTGGAAATAACTAGGCATGGTAAGAATAGGTATATATCCCAGGAAAGCGACTAACTCGTCTCGAATATTTAAATATGAAGAACAAGATCGTTTAATATGATTAGCGAGAGAGTGCGTTGGTTAGGAAAGCAATAAGTGAATAAAGCTTGTGGAAGTCATTGTACTTGCTAGAATGGCAATTAGGTAGAAGAAGCGAGATTTAGGCCAACTAGCAACTGAATTGTTATCGCGTAACCGGTACGTTGCAAGGCGCCAATAAAGGCTCATCTCTTCTTAAAATTAAAAACATAGTGTTAGTGCTACTAGACAAAGAATTATAAATTATCCAAAGATTGGATTGAGTTGACTAATGCCCGTTACTCGGGTTCCCCACTACATCGACATTGCCGCATGACTCTTAGATCAACTCCGTAAACCACTTTTAAGGAGCCGGCATGGCCTGATGCCGCAACAATCACAGTTGTACGACTAGTGAAATCTTCTCCAATCGAAATCTCTACTGTATAAATATGTAAATGTACGTACGTATGTATATATATATTAGGAGTGTGAATAAGTTTGAAGTACAATTACAAGTACAATTAAAAGTACATTTTATAAAAAAGTGTCATGAGAAATTGTCGCTACGTGCTATTGCTCTTATCTCTTGGACAATTTCGTGCAGAAAGCATAAGTAATCCTTTAAGGTTATCTCCCCAAGGAACACATTTTGTAATTATCGCAAAAAACGGAAAACTGTGCTCGGAGGGCCATTAAGCTACCAATTGAAGTCAGCGTTAACTGGAAAGAGTAATGCTTGCTCATAACAGCGGAGAAAGAAGCGCCTTCCAGATTATTGCTGCCAACGTTTCGTGGGTTAACTTACGCTTTATGGAGCCGAAAGCCTTACACGAGGCTTGAATACTGATGATATCATGGTTTCGGGGATTTTGCGCCAGTTTTTCTTAAAAATTTGCATCAATTGTTGTTAGCAGTAGGGTATCTTAGTTGTAAGGACAAGTCATATTACAACACAGCCAGCTAACAGCTATCCCTTCTCCAGATAGGGCCGCCAAGTACCTTCAGCCTTATCATCGATATTAATGGTTCACTCAGGTTGCGTGTATTATTGGTGCTTGGGCTTTGGATATCGTAACGTATCCATTATTTGATTTAGCAGCACTATCTTGTTGGGCATCAAGCAGGAGAACTCGATTAGCGTTTTTTGGGCACAGAAGTAAGTTAACCTGTTCAAAGATGCCAAAAACTATGCTCTACACATTTATCGAGATAAAATGACAGTACAAAGTCAAAGACATTACATACGGATGGAAAATTCACAGTTGTGTTGTGTCTCTTCCATAGCACTAATAACAGACAATTTTGGAAAATAGCGAGAATTTCTCCAAATTCTGAAACAGCAGGCAGACGGAGAAAATAGTTCCAAATCTCATATTGATCAAAAATTGTGCAAATTCTTTAAATGTTATGAAAAAGTTGAGAAAGCTATCATATTCTCCCGCTCCACTCCTCCCCTCCCCCATCACTCGTTAAGATAATTTTCAATTTTCAGTCTCACTTCGATATATTTATTTAAACAAAATTACTTGAGAATTTGCAGCTCCACTAAAGCGGAATACTCAAGCAAAAATGAATGCCAAAGCAGAGCAGAAAATTTTCTACTATCCTGTGCTAACTTTCATGATAACTACGAAAATGTAAATATCGTGTCTGCGCTTAAGAGTTAATTTCAAGACTTTTGTAAATTTACGTTACCCTATCAGCTGAACGTTGATGATAACATCAATTGTAGTTTCAAATTAAAAACACACCATTCAATCAAGGCGATGCCAACTAAATGTCAAAATGATAGATATGTTCTCAATATTGTCTACAGAATATTGTTGTTTAGATGATTGTTGTTGTTTACATAAATATAAACGGAATGAATATTTAACTGCATATGCAACTGTTTACAAAACGAAATTGCATATAAACAACAAGAGAATTTCACACAATTTAACCGAGTATACCGTTGAGGTAGAATATACTAACATAGTGCTATATAAAGTAAACTCTAATGAAAACTATTTATTTTTGTTTTAGAAAACTTTAATTGAAACCAGCTACAATAACAGTAACTACAGCAACTACAACAACAATAACAGCAAGCATCGAATAGGGGTAAACAAGAGCAGTCTATAACAAAACATTTACTTACAAATACGAAGACATTAATAAAGCACATATACATACAACACATACAAATATATATATATATATATATATATATATATATGCACACACACACACGGGCAATCTCAATTACTTAAATAAATTGAATAACCGATTTAATAAAACAGCAAGAAACAAATAGTGTCATCCGGGGTGAGAGTAAGCAGTTAGAGAGTTTTACTGAAAAGCAGAAAAAAGAAAAAAAAGAACAGAAACAAAAACAAAACAAAAAACGCCCGAACAACTCAAATTATAACTTTCTCATTACTTTCTTATATCACTTCAATGTAACGTAATGTCTGTGCTTTGTTTTTCTTGTTTTTATTTATTTATTTATATTTATAATAACATAATTGAAACTTTTGTCTAAGCAAGATAATTATACAACATTTTTTTGGATAGAAGAATGTACATGTACACCCATACATACATACATACATACATACATACATACATACATACATACATACATACATACATACATACATACATACATACATACATACGTAGATACATACTTATACACAAGCATGCGTACATTAACACTTATGTAACAGAATTTTGCTTTAAATAGCAAAAGTGTTTTCATGTACGTACGCGCACGAATGTATGTATGTATGTATGCATGCATGCATTAATTGCTAGACAAATTGAGATAAATAATTTATGCTTTATTTAATGCATACTTTTAGATGCAAACATTAATTTGCAATAGGCTGTATATATGTAAATTGCTTATGAGACATGCAAGAATACGAGGTTTGTTCAAAACAAAAAATTCAAAAATTCATTTTTACAAAATATTTTTTTAATTGCTTTTCATATCGTCGTACTTACCTTTGAGTCATGTCTGTTTAGAAATCCTATTTGAAGAATTGTTTATCGAAAAGATTACATTTGTTTTGCATATATATAAATATGTACTAATACTAAATAATAAAAATAGTTTAAATTATGTGCAAAAACAACTTCAAGATGCCATTCATTACTTATTCCCTATCGTGATTGCACTTTATTTTAACAAAAACATTGCTTTACAATGCAAAAGAAAATTGCAATTGGAAAGCAACGAGTAGACAATGCTCCCTTTCTATTCTCAAGGCGGATGCCCGTCATGCTAGACATCAATCATCTCAGCGCTTTTATCGTTGGACGAATAAGGAATAGAGTATACCTAAACTAGGACCTTTGAAGCCTGACTGTAACACAATACCTTAGAAACTCACTTTTACGCTTTACCTGAGTACAATAGAAAGATTGCAAATTAAAATGCCGCGAACAAGATGGACCTCTTCAGGGCAAATAGTATACATGACAGGTTCACGATAGTGTTTGGTTCAAGCAAACTAATCAATCGCGTAGCCTTGCGTTACATAATAACCAGCACAGTTTAAATAGAAAAATAGAAAAAGACTTAATCTCCTCATCATCGTCAATCCCTTTATGGTCTTTTAGGAACTCACAAGCATTCATAGAAGACCTCTCTCTATTTTCGTTGTCTGATAAATAGCGCCCGAAAATATGCTCTAAATATGTATATATATATATATAGAATCTAGAATCATAAAGAGAATCTAAAGAGAGTTACATTATATATTCCGATCTAATCGCGCATTAATAGAAACCTCATTTTTCAAAACAAATCAAGTCGAAAGTTGAAAAATTCTGCAAAAAAACCGAGTTAGTGAGTTTAAGTTGGGACAAGGAAACCCAAGGAAAGACAATTAAAAAGAATAAGCAATAAGTCCAGTGAAAATCATTTCTTTATTAAATTTAAAATGTCCTATGACCTATAGACTTCAGTGTCAGAGCTCTTCCAATCCACCAAGTTGTAAATCCAAATAAATCATTGCAAATACTCGGAACCGAAGTGACGAATAGGAGGAGTAACCAAATATCTGCAGATTACAGCACATTCTCATACTATTACACATATCTTATGCAAAAAAGCTTTTGGATTAAGTCCTTCTACAAGTTGAAAATCGCCGATTATGGTAAAACAAACGTAAACTTTTCGAACAACAATAGAAACATAGAACAAAATTGTAATCCAGATGTGCAAGTGAAGAAAATATTCGCTAAGGAATAAAGCAGACAATCGGAACAAAATTAAGAATTGGGAAGTGAAGAATTTCACTAACATTTTAAGGGAACCTCGTATATGTTACTATTATTATTATTATTATTATTATTATTAATATTGTAAGCTTTGTTAAATATGTATGTTGTTTATATAAGTTTAAGTTTTTGTTAGTGTATAGTTTTAATAAATATTGTTACAATGTATTTATTTATATGTAAAAATTTTTTTCCTTTAATAAATGATTTATTCAAAATTTAATTAGTTATAATGACGCACAATGAAAACAATTTTTTTTTTTTTAATTTTTTTTTTTTTTTTCTGATCTGAAATTTGAATTGAATTAGACATTTGAAAATATTTTTGTAATATTTTCGGTGAAAACTTTAGTTGTTTGTGTCTGTCATCTTGTTTTCAGAATTCTTTTGCACGCTTTTAATACAAAACAGTTTGTGGAAGAAAATAATTAAAAGCATTTGCTAAAATTATTTATTTTAAAATGTGATGTTAAATATATTTATATATATATACATACATATGTATATATATATATACAAATATATAAATAAATAAACACAATAACATTTAATAAAACGATAAATTATTAATTAAAAAATAAAACAAATAAGTAAATGAAATTAAAAATACTTTAATTGTAAAACAATTATAATTATAAACAATTTCTTGTAGATTATATACATATATATATACATATATACAAATGTATGTATCTGAATATGTAAATGTATATATATGTATACGTATACATATATGTATATATATTCATATATAAATCCAAATATAAAAATTCTTTAAAGGAAACCAACAACAACAAAAACAAAATCTAAATTCTAGTAACTAAATGAATCGATTACAATTACTTTTTTATAAGTAGCAAACAATTTTTGAAATAATATACACTATAAATATACATATATTTATATATATATATATATATATATATACATATATATGGATATATGCATACGTGTATACGTATATATATATATATATATCAACTTATATATATAAAAAAATATTTAACTTTACTTAATATGTAATTTTTAATAATTAAAATGAAAAAAGAAATTAAATAAAAAACACCTTACGAGAAAGCTAAACACTAAAATCTCTTTTCACTTAATATGCCTTTTCTATTTTTTTTTTTTTTTTTTTTTAAATGAAAATTAATTATGTGTGTGACAATTGACAAAAAATTCAATATAAATCTTAATTTTTTTTTTTTTAATATAATTTTTGTGTGAATTAGTGAAACAAAAAATAAATAAATAAGTCTAAAAATAATAATTAAATATAGTTTATAAATATTATAACCACCACACACTTAGGCTTGAATATGTTAAAATATGTTTGCAACAAGTGGGAGAACCCATAATAAAGTATATACATATCGTAAGCGTGAGTAACAACGAGGACTGATGCATATCCGTCTGTCATTCTTTGTCAAGACTTCGAAATGTTATCTAGAAACGCGGACCTGATTTCTTAACAAATTTGATTTTTTATCAGTGGGTGTTAGAGATTTCGCTTACAATTATCAAAAAGCTAGCTATGTATGTATGTATTGGATTTTCCCCTGAACTACAGTCTCAAGCTCTTCCTTAATAAAATCCTGGTATCGAGTAATCGGAAATCAGAACAAAAATGAGACGAAGAGTTCGTCGCTTTGCCGAAAAATTACATACACACACACACACAAGTAGGGCAATGAATTTTTGACACAATTAACCATGGCATCGTCCGAAGCGTTATATAAAAATATTCGATATGATACACGATTCAAACGTAAGAAATGCAATGACCAATGGTGGGTGGTGGGTATTATAAATAATTCGGACGGCACATCGAATATACTCCCTTGTTTTATGTATGTTATGAATGCTAATTAAAGCAATTCTACGAAACGGAACAGCAGCAGAAAATAGGGACAATTTTTTCTTCTTCTTTCCTTTCCTATCATTGTGTATATTACGTATGACTAAGTAACTAATTAACTAACTAACTAATTACAATATTTCTAAAAGCGTTTGCAAATGTAATTCATTGAAATATTTACATATACATGTATGTATATATGTATGTATGTACATATACATGTATGTATATATATATGTATGTATGTATGTATGTATTAATGTACTTAGAAAGATATGTTAACTCTATAAATGTTCTTCCCAAAAATGCCTGCATATACCTATTATCGAATGGTACAAAAGTACATTAAAGACATTATTTTCTCGTAATATATCGTATGAATGTCAGCAACACACATCTAAGTTTACTTTTAAGACAATTTCATTGAACATAATCCACACTCAGCATTATCACAACACAAAGACAAAAAAATTCAAAAGGAACACTTCAAAACATTCTCGTCTATAATAATACGATATTTGCATATCAAACATAAATCAGATAAAAATAAAATACTAAACTTTAAATTATTATATAATCGCTTGAGATAAGAAATACTGAATTGCCATTAGTCCATATAGCGCCTTTGCTTATTCTTTTTCCACCTTACATACCTAGCTCTCTCGAAATTGCTTTTGTATTATGCAGAAATATTTGTCAAAGGCCGTAAGAGATATTTATATCTTGGCCTTGGGTGGGATGGGCAGAGAATGTTTTGATCATGATGTCCGCTTGTTTTTCAATCCAAGTTTTCCATTAGAATCAAATTATCATCACAGTCTTCAAGGAAATTAAATTTTGGAAACAACCAGGATTGACTTATTGAAAAAATCAATGATAAGAGGTAGCCAAGATTTCGCTTTAGAGCGAATGCATCTTTTTTACACGCTTTATTTCAAAAATTTTAACCAGATATTTTTTGTTTTTTGTGAAATTTTGCAAAGTGTACAAAAATTTATTAGGTATACGTGAATGCTTATAGATTTCGTTCGTTTGTTTCGTTTGTTCAAAGTACTTAAAATTTGTTGCAAATATTGTCGCACTTACCACCACTACCAGCCATTACACAAAACGATGGTCAAATATTTCAAAATTTCTTCTTCTCTATGAATACTTGCTTGTCCTGTTCCGATAGTTGTGTGTTGTGATTACCTTTTTAAGTGAAAAGAGGAACTGGGACGAAAGTAGCAAATCCATCCATATATATGAAGCAAACTTTTGATGTCTCTTTTTACTTGTCTTCATCATCATCGACATCATCATCATCATCGTCGTCGACACAGTTAGTAATCTCTCTGCAGACGATAGTGATTCTTACATAATGCTTTTAAAGTCATCTTCTAAAAAGAAAAGTTGAATTAGTTTTTACAAACTTTTCATCTTTTACATTAGAGCTTAGCTTCCTATATACGCAAAAGATTGTTTTAGAGCAAGTTTCTCATTCGATAAGGTTCTTGATAAATCATATTAACAACACCGTACAACATTGTGTGTTGAATTCGATCTAAATTTATATTTATAGTCGCACATGGAGAGTGTTCGTTCAGAAGGGAGAGTAAATACTTACATGTGAACTTTCTTATCTGGCCGTCGTAGAGCTGCTTTAAGCCTACAACTATTTTTTACGACATACAATAAATACATACATAGTTCGACGGCTTATGTATATACACGACAAAAATGAATTATTTTCATTTACTTAAACTATTCTTTTAATTTATGTCAATTATGTACATATGTATATACATATACAAACAATATAAAGCAATTTTCTATGACACGTCAAACACTTAGATAGACACACACGCACATATAAAATTTATTTTGATGGCTTTTTCATTTAGGTATTATTTTCATTAGTTAATGTGTTAAATTTAACTTGAATAAAAAAGAAATCACTATTCTTCCACCATCAATACATACACACACTGTTCTACTTGTTCTATATGAAACTTGTGTTAAAATTAATTGTAATAGTGCATAATGACTTTGATTACACCTATCACCGTCAACACGTGTGCTTTACGGCGAATAAATGGTTTTGGGAATGATCGGGTCCCACGCAGAAAGGGAAAGCGAAGCATGCTATTGAAATGATTTCTTATTTTTCTATATCTTCTCTGAGTTTCTAAGGCGTTTTTAAAAAAGCAAATCCTTCTTATTTTTTAACTGACTAATTAGTATATTAGTTAGGAAAAGCCTGCGTCATGGATGGACCGGATTA